AGGTTCTAACTTGAGTGCTATATAACCAAAACTCCATGTGAAAATATACCTTTGAGAATTGATCTGTTCTTCTAAGAACCCCTGATAACTATGAGGATGCTATGAGTAGGACCTAAACTCATGGTTGAACTTTCCCTTTTTGAGTTTGAAATTTGAAATTTACATCCGTGGCCATAGTGCTTCTGGAGAGCTGAGAAACAAAAAAGGAGTGGAGAACACACCTGCATCATAAAAGGCCTGGCTCCTTCCCCAGCCATGCCGTGAACCTGTCACACAGACAGACTTGCCTGGGCTTCAGAGGTCCCTAGATACATGGGTCTGTTAAAACAGAAACTTCACTCCTCATGATGGAGGGAAGATGTGAATCTTGTTGGACACGAGCCTCCTCTGGCCCATGGCCACCTGGGAAGGAGACAAGGGGGTGATGGAGGTCACAGTGTTAGTTTTTGCACAGGAGTTATTGTGGGTCAGGGAGGTGGAAGAGGAGGAGCCCAAAAGGATGGAAATAAAGCCATCTGCAGGTGTTAGACTCCGCTAGTCTCCCCAAACTCTCTATTTCTAATCAGTTCACATAGAATTGCTTTCTTTTAGCACAATCACTTAGAAGGACGTCTGGATAGTGCCTAGACTGCCTTGAGCTGTCATTTACAGCCATAGTAACTAGCATGATTCAGTGTTTAATGCATAGGAGCCACATGTGGATTATCACAGATAATACTCAGCAAGGTGGAAACATTTATTGGCCTCAGTTGCAGCTGTGAAGATGGGGATGTGAAGTTGAGTGAGCTGGTCCAGACGGCAGGTGCAGGTCAATGGGGCTTGTCCCCAACACATGATTCTATGTGTGTGTGTATGGGGGGTGGTTCACCGTGTCTGTGCAGGGGTGAACATTTGGTCCATAGGCCAAGATGCCCATGTCCCATGCTGGAATATTTGGCTAAAATACTCAACTCTGGCTTCTGGTGCCAGATTCCTAACGAGTTGGATATTAAGATGCCACAGAGATGGCTGGCACCATGGTGTAGGAAGTTAAAGCCTCTGCCTGTGGTGCCAGCATCCCATGTGGGTGCTGGTTCAAGTCCTGGCTGCCCCACTTCTGATCTAGTTCCCTCATAATGTTCCTAGGAAAGTAGCAGAAGATAGTCCAAGTCTCTGGGCCCCTGTACCCATGTGGGATACCTAGAAGATCCAGGCTCCTGGTTTTCGACAGGCCTTCACTCAGACGTCCCTTCTGAGAGATGGATACAGAGACTGGGTCTGAGGAAGGGATCAGAGAAAGAGAGGGTCCCAGGGTCTCTGGAATAACTTGGTCAGCTGCTGCTGTGATAGGATGACAGCTCTCTTCCTTCTCCAGTTCTTTTCCCAGGCATCCCCACGGGGGAAAGGCCATGACTTATGCAGACATTTCTTCATCTATTACAGATGGACCCCACTTGTCCCACCCAATCATCAGAGGGACTTTTGGCAGCAATTCCCCATCCTCCTATTAACACTCATTTTTGTGCTTTTGCTGCAGGACCCCGTGTGCAGTGGGCGATGACCTGGGGCCGGGGATGGCCTTTGCTGGACAGTATCCTTCTGACCCTGGTCAGAGACACCTATTCCTGCCTTCTGCCCCTACACAGCATGGAGACCATTGGTAGGAGCTTAGAGCACGCACCTCTGTGAGCTGGGGAGGCAGCTGGAGGCTAAAATCTACCAACTGTTGTTTGTAAGTTGTGAGCCTCGGTACCCCTGTTACTTCTTGGTGTTCCCAGGGATTAGATGCAGGGGGAGGAAAAGACAAACTGAATGCTGTGATTCCCCCTGGCCTGGTGCTTGGCCCAGAGGAGGTGCTAGAATTCTGGTGTCTGTCCTGGACAGACCTTGGAAAGGATTGAACAACTAATGCCTGATAGATTAGCCCCTAGCATGTGGTAAACACTGAAAAAGTGGCCACAATTTTCAGTCTGGAGCCGTCCTCTGATTCTTAGACACCTGTCCCGAATACCTCCTTGCCCTGTCTCTTACCCTATCTCCTCTACCTGACTTCTTTCTTTTTCTTCTCTTTTCTCTTCTTTTCCTTTCCTTTCCTTTCCTTTCCTTTCCTTTCCTTTCCTTTCCTTTCCTTTCCTTTCCTTTCCTTGCCTTGCCTTGCCTTGCCTTGCCTTGCCTTGCCTTGCCTTGCCTTGCCTTGCCTTGCCTTGCCTTCCTGGTTCTTTCTGGAAGATTCTTTGTCCAGATTTCTGCTTCCATAGTTTCTAGGAGGTTCCTGGGAAACCAGATATGAACACCACCCTGTTGATTCCCTCCCAGGCAGCACTAGGGGGTGGAGTACAGGCACATTCTAGAGGAAAAAGTTAGTGGACACAGACTTGCAACAGAATGAAAACACAACAGATTCCGTTAAATGCAGTGTAATTCAACATGATATTGATTCCTTTAGACCTCAGGTTAGACCAAAATTACCTGGAGAGAGGAACCACGGGGCTTGGGAGTAAGGGGTAGGTTTGCAGAGGAGCTGGGAGTATGGGTTTTGCTCCTGTCCTCCTAACCCACAGGGAGAGGGGTGCTGGGTGGCAGAAGCATGGCGTATGACCCAGCTGCATCCAAGTCCATCGATCCCTCAGGCCTTCATGGGGAGTTTCTGCAATGGACGCTACTGGTCCTGCGTCGGTGTGACCCTGGCCCGCACTCAGGTTGGAGAAGGGGCGTTCTCAGAGCAAGCCCATGACAGGTGGGCTCTCTGCCCTGCAGAGAAGCTGGTTTGAGGAGCAGGCAATGGCGAAAGGCACTGCTGGAGGCTAAATGTGGACACACTCTAGAGCCATGGTCGGTCCTCAACTTTCTTCCACTAACACACGTGTGGAGCAGCCTCTGTGTGGGTCAGACTACAAGTCGTAGGGCTGATGAGATGAGGAACAGGGAGTACATATTCATGGCAAGCTGGCTAGGAGCCCATTCCAGGTGAGAGAACACAGGGGAGTGAGTGAGGGGTATTGCAGGCTGGTCTCAACAATGCATTCATATAAGAGAAAACGAAATGGGCTGAAAGCTCTGTCACTCCAGGCACTAGAAGAACAATTAGAATTAGTGACTAAGCAGTTGCTACACCCCCAAGATCAGTCCTGGCCCTCTGTGTGCTGTGGGTCAGTGGGCTAAAGGACAATGCCACATTGGTATGGGTATGTCTATGGTGAGCCCAGGTGACCCTCAAAGACAACAGGCTCCCCAGACTCGGGCTTCTTCAGTGAGTGGAGCAGGGAGTGTCCCCACAATGCAGGCCCTTGGCCTCCATGGAGTTTCCCACAATATAGAGGGAGCAAATATTTTCTGACTGTGTGTGGAACCACTGGGAAGGATGGAGATGCCTGGAAGCCCATGGAGAGTGAGGTTTCCATGGCGACTGGGAAGGCCAGCAGGCTAAGTGACAAGTGAAGCCAGCTCTGGCCAAGGTGACTATGGTGTAGGATCCCAGCATCAAATGCTATCTGTTGGGTCCCTGACCTGGCATGGGGTGGCATGGCCAGGCATCACAGGCATGCCACCTGGCATGTCATCTAAGGGCTTCTTGGTTGCTACAGGAAGCCCTGAGTTTGGGGAGTATTTACCTTGTGGATGCTTTCTGCTTGGTGCACTCTGTGGATGCCTACTTTAAGACAACTCTGTGTAAGGCACTTGGGCAAGCAAGCGGGAAGGAGGTCAAGAGAAACAAGGAAGCAGAATGCCTGGCTGGGCAGGACAATAGCTGCACAGTTCTTGGTTGCAGGCCTTCTCTTTCCCTAGGTTTCCACACAAGGCTTGGAAATGCTTTTCCATTCTCCTCTGGCCCCTCTCCCTTGAGCCTCAGCCTGGGTGACATGGCCTCCAAGAGTCTCCCTGCCCTTTTCCAAGTCTGGAGTGGACACTTCCTGTGTCTCCACAGCTGTGCCAAGAACCCAGGACGGGATATTTCAGTTGCCACTGGGTCTGCCTCTTATTTCTTCCTTCGGAAAACAAGATGAGAACAGGGAGAGCCAGGCACTTAATAAATATTTGCTTATTTAACATTGGGCAAGTGCAAGAATAAAAGAGACTGGGGATCTTCTAAAGTGACTTCTGTCTCTAGAATGCTGCAGAATATTCAGGTGTGGAACTTGACCTTCCTAGTTTTGAACTTGAAGGAGACAGGAAGGACAACACACAAACACTAGTCTCTGTCTAGCTGACTGGTCTTGCATTGAGTGCAGAGGCTAGGGGAATGGAAAGAGGACCCCAGGGCCACATGCACCTGTCCTGGGCAATGACAAGAGCCTTCAGGGAGAAGACATTAGGAGGTCAAGGGGAGAAATGGTGACACCCACTAGCCTACCCCATTGCCTCTGGGGTAAATATTGTATAATTGGGCATTAAAGTTTTTCAGTTGGTTAACTCCCAGAACTATGTGCAAGTGGGTGTGCCATTGTGGGAAGTATTTTTCCCCAGCCTTCTTCCACTGTTCGGTCTTTGGAATGCTTGATATTCTGAAGGTTTTAGTCTTTTGATTTGTTGGTCCTTATCTCACCCGCTAAGGACTTGTCAAACCTGACTGGTCAGGCTTCCCGCTTTCCGTTCCTTCTCTGTGAAGGAGCATTGTCGGTCATCTCTGGTTCCAGAAGGATGCAAATGTGGAATCCAGCTCAGGTACTCAGATATGTAAACACAAGGCTTCCCTCCAGGCACAGCTTATCCCCAAGGAATTTCCCAGCATGCACAGCACTTGGCCAAGAGTTAGATGCCTGAAAGCAGGAGTGGAGAGCCACTGGAGGGGATGAATCTGGCTGTGGATCTAAGAGAAGCTTGGGTTGACAGTGGCATGTGAGATTCATCCAGCAGCACGGGCAGGTTCGCTGGAGGAGGGAGTCCTGTGCACTGGCTTTTCCCAGGGCCAGGAAGAGGGTCGGCCTGGATCAGTTTTACGGAATCCCACGGAGGAGGTGGGAAGGTTGGATGTTGGTCATCAGCTCTTCTGGTCAAGGTCATGGGTGACGGGCGAACAGCCATCAGCAGCAATTCATGAAAAAGAACTTGAGGCTCTGGAAGAAACTCGACTTCTGCCTCTGCTTCTGTTTCTTCTTAATGATGGGTACCCACACCAGGCCGCACACCAGCATCATAAGTCCCAGGGACAGGAAGGCTGGCCCTATCATCCTGAGGATCGCCAAGATCTTAGTCTCCAGTTTCAAGGTGTAGGCCAGGCAGGTGATGGCCACGCCGAACAGCAGGATGGCGCTGCCCACTGACATGATGATAATGGGCTTACGGTAGATCTCCCAGTTGCTCTTGGGTGTGGTGGTCCAGACTGACTCACTCCTGGAGCTGATGCACAGTGAGCTGGCAGTCTGGCTGGGAAGCAAGTCCTTAGATTCTGGGGACTTCTCGTCAACCTCCAGGACTTTGGGTAGACTCTCCATTGTCATGGATTCTCAGGATGGAGCACCAGCTACTAGCAACAGCTTGAGTCAAGGGCAAGGCAGAAAGGGTCAGTTCTTAGCATCTGTCTGCAGCCTGGCTCTCAGTGGAAGGGCCTCCAAGGATTTTGTACTGAAGCATAAAGGAAAAACAGGAAAATCCAAGTAAATAAGTAGCCATTGAAACTTCTGTTTAATTTCTTGTGTGATATAATGTATATTATTCTATTAACTGCCTTTAACATTGAAAATAAAGAAGTGTCTTGGCATTTTCAAAGCAACCCAAGGTTATGTGTGATGAAACAGCATCCTGTCTTCAGAGTAGACCACTGCTTAGCTGTGTGATTTTGAGTGAGCTACTCGCTTTCTCTATGCCTCAGTTGTCTCACCTGCAAAATGTGTATATTAATCCCACTTATTTCATAAAATGTGTTTTTAAAGATGTGCCTATGTATTTGAAAGGCAGAGTTATAAAGATAGATAGATAGAGAGGGAGAGAGAGAGAGAGAGAGATCTTTCATCTGCTTCACTCCCCAGATGGTCACAATGGCCAGTACTTGGCCAGGCAGAAACCAGGAGCTTCATTTGGGTTCCTCACATGGGTGCAGGGACCTAAGCACTTGGCCCATCTTCTGCTGCTTTCCCCAAACCATTAGCAGGAAGCTGGAACGAAAGTGGAGCATCTAGGACATAATCGGGGGCCCAGATGGGATTCTGGTGTCACAGGCCTCACCTGCCATACATTGGTCCTTCCCAAGGTGTGGAGTCAACTTAGTTCGTCCCTTTCTATTTCCATCTGCACATTATTTGGTCACCAGGGGCTACTTCATCTCCTGGTGCCAGCTGTGCAGAGCAAGGGCCCAGCAGCTGCAGAGCCCTGCCCCCTGTCAGGGACTTCTTGACTGCTGCAATGTGGGATTGGAACCTCCCTTCACGTTGTGCCCAGGAAGTGCCAACTCCTATGCAGCGAGCCCTGTATTTACAAGACAGCAAGGCACAAATGATGGTGTGAAATGCTTTGCTGGGATATTTGGAGAGAAGGGGAGGCAAAGAGAGCCAGGGTGTCTGGCCCTGAGGGTCCCACTAAGTCTTGGCCCTGGCTCATCATTGACTTGTTTCCTAGGAGGGCTCTTCAAAAACGGTTCATGGGAAACAAAGCCAAAAAGCTTTATTTATTTAGGGGCAAATCACTAATTGTGTGCCTAATTCCGGGCCCAGACACACTGCTTCCCAACCAACTTCCTGCCTTGTGGGGCAACACATGGCAGCTCAAGGACTTGAATTTCTTCCATGCATGTGGGAGACCCAGGCTGAGTTTTGGGTTCCTGGATTTGGCCTGGCCCAGCCCTTGGCTGTGGTAGACGTTTGGGCAAGTGAAACAGCAGAAAGAACATCTCTGCTTGGTTCTCTGACTGCCCAATAAAATGAAAATAACTAACTAACTAATAAATAAATAAATAAATAAATGTGTTTTCAAAAAGACTGATTTAGCTTGGTCCCCAATCATTTGAAACCTGAGCCTAATGTTTTCATCACATGCATTGTCCATAGACTTTTTGGAGTCCCACCGTGAGCATCTTATGTAATGCTTCACGCCCGTGCGATCCTGTGTCTCTTTCACTGACTGAGTCAAGTGAATGAACATCCTCTTTTTTTCCTTCCGTCACACATCACAAACCGGGCACCTGCCTGACCGGCTTCCCCAAGCCAGGTTCCCTTCAGCAAAGCCTATGGCCTCCGCCTGTGACAGTCTCAGGTGCCACTCCCAGCAGCATTTACAAGTGTCCCTACTTTCCAGCAGGATGTTTGCTTCCCAATAATAAAATCTTTATTGGGGGGAGATGAGCATTTCATCCCAGTCACAATAAACCCTCCCTCCGTCCCCACCCCACAGAGTCAGATCCAAATACGGGGGAGTGAGGTGTAATTGTAGAATCTGTGTTCCTGGCTCCAGAGTGTTAGATAGCTTGGCATCGAGCAGCTGGCACCTATAGCTGGTGACCCTCCAGTCCCCATGCCCAGGAACTTTCTCTTCTACTCTGTTGGGTGGTCCTTTGCTTGTATGCTTCCCACCATGTGATCTCCAGCCGACTCCCTTTGTCTCCCTCACCGCACCCCTCGCACTCAGGTCTGGCCATGAACTAGTGTTCCCCTGCTCCTCAGAGTATAATGCTTCCACCTTCTCGAATAGCTATAGCTCCATTCCCTGTTACAGAGAGAAATCACGACTGTGGTCATGGTAAAATTGCCCGTGCTTTTGGAATATGGATTACCTGGGGAATATGGTTATCTACCTCATAGGATTTCTGTGTTCATCAAACTAAAACTGAAAAGCTACTCTATTACTCAGAGTGGTGCAAATGTGAAATGGTCCTGCTTGTTCTCCTGGCCATTTTTTTTTTCTTGGTCCTTGATTTCTCCTCTGTGAAAGGAAAGAGTGGGTTAGGTCATGTCTGAAGTCAGTTTTGTATTGTTCTGCAAACAATAAACCCAAAGATCACCAGCTCAGGGGTTGTGTGAGTTTCAGAGCATTTTAATTAAAGAATCATTAAGATTCTTTTTTCCTTCTCTATGCTATTTGGGTTTAGTAACAGCATTACCATTGACACGTTGGCTTGTATAACTCACTGCCAGGAGAGCCTGCAGGATTGTAGGATGTTTAGCACCAGCCACGGTCCTACCAGAAAGCCAGTGGCCTCCCGTTGCCCACACCCCAAGATACCTCCAAACATTGACAAATATTTTCTAGTGGGGGCAGAATCAACCTGCTCTAAGATTTTCCTTTCTGTCTCTCCTCTCTGCAAATCTGACTTTCCAATAAAAATAAGTCTTAAAGAGAGAGAGAAAAAGAGAGAGAGAGAGAGATCTGTGTACCACACCAGAGTATCTGGGCTCTGTAACTTCAGTTTCCTGCTGATACAGATCCTGGGAGGCACTGGTGAGGACTAGAGTCACTGAACTCCTGCTATCCAGGTGGGTGCTCAAAGGAGCAGAGTTTTGATAGAGAATCGAGGAGCAGGACCTGAAGGTGCATTAAAAACAAGGGGGATGCTGCCTGGGCTATGGACTGAAGACGAATGAAGGTCCCAGCCTTCCTGGAGTTGTTCAGGGGGAATGGATGTCACTGCCAGACACCTGTGTTGTTAAGGGAGTCCCAGATCTTATTCAAGTCAAAGGAAGAAATAAATGACTGAAGAGAGGTTAAAGAAGTGGAGATGTTAGCCCATGGAGGGCCTTGGGGTCAGAGGGTAGGGAAGAAGGGAGCCATGAATCGATGGTACAAGTGCATTTTGGGAAAATCCGGAGAGCCTATGACATCGCTGCGAAACGATCCTTCCCTTCGCGTTGTAAACAGACATGATCCACAAACGGACCATTGCTCTAGAGGCCACCAGGACCCAAGGGCTGCCTTCTCAGAGCAGCCAATGCTACAGCATGAAAATGGGAGCTGGTCTTGGGAAAAATTCTGTTAGACAGAGGTTAAGAGGGTCACCATCTGCTTTCACGTCAAACTGAGTTCCTCCCTCCCGACCCTCCTGCCATGGAAGTCAACAGGAGGGACCATTCAGAGTCCACCTTCCCAGGAGTGGGATGGCACAGGTGTGGCTACAGGGGCTCTTTACCTGCTCTAATCGCTCTGACTCATTTGACTAAGTGGATTTTCTCAATCTCCAGCCAGAGGGCGGAAGTATTGCATTTCATAAGGGATGAAGGGGGCAGTCATGCCCTTTTGGTAATCTCTGTGTCAAAGCCAGCGTCAGGCCAGGGAGAAGTAGCTGTCCTAAGTCTAGCCTGGTTCTGGCAAGAAGGCACCTGGAATAATGAGAATATCTATCAGAGGTCTGAGAGCATGCATTCCGCTAGAGTGCTTGGGTCACAGGCATTGTTGGGGGAACTCAGGATTATGGGCATAGGTGGAAAGAATTGGTTTCTGAACAATTGATCATGCCATCTCGTATTTAGAAGGGGAGATCTCTCAGGACACTCCGCAAAGAGCCTAATCTTAGGTGGACTCTCAAAGGTGCTGCTGGTCTGGCTAGGAGCCAGCTGCAGAATTTTTCCAGTAGCAACAGCATGGGCGAAAGGGGTCCCCCATTCACTATGACCTTGGAAGAGGGTTTGGGGACCTACCCGGGATGCTCAGAACCCCATTGAGATGACACCTGGCTCTGTACCTTGGATTCCATTTGCCAGTTTGTTCAAGGCTTATGTGGATGTATGGTTGGCATGGAGACATCACGAGAGAAATGGAAAAGGAAAAAAGTGGAAATAATGGAGGACAATTGTTTTTTAATAAATGCACGGAAGCAATTCAATGGGAAAGGAAAGCCATTTCAATACACGGCACTGGGACAGCTGGGTGTTCCTGTGGAAAAGAAATGAAACTTGACTCTGTTGCACATCATCAACAGAAACCAATTCCCCATGGATGACGGACCTCAACTCAGTGGAAAAATAATGAAAACACTTGGGTAAAACAAGACAGAATACTTCAGTGACCCAGAGTCTGACCGAGATTTCTTAGGATAGAGAAAAAAAAAAAGCTCTGAGTTAGATTTCACAAAATTTCAAACATCTGATCAGTAAAAGATATGGTAGAGGAAAAGGAAAAGCCAGCTCTGAACTGGAAGAACATATTTACAAGATATGTATCTGTTGTGTATTGAATTTGCACAAAATATGTGTCTGTCATTTGATTAATGAAAAAACAACAATTAAAATATTTAGGGAGAAGGTAAAATATTTAGACCCATTACAAGATAAACAATGAGCAAATAACCTAAGGAAAAAAGGATTGAAAATGGTATATTCTGGGAAAACACAAATGAAAATAACAATCAGCTATCACCACTCATTCAACTAAAATTTTAAAATCTCGCAATACTACATGTTGTTGCAAATGTGTAGCAATGAAAGCCTCTGTATACCTGTAGTGAGAATGGAAAATTGGTAGCGTCTTTGTTAAATATACACACACCCGTTTACAAAGCCATTCCATTCCTAAATAC